GACTTATACAGACCTATACCGCAATGTATATTGTACATTTTGGATGAAAAAAAAAAATTGCAAACTGAAAACATTAAATTTCTCTTGTGGTCCAATAATTTCCAGTGAAATAATTTCTTGATTATTGGTAATACAACATGGCTCCAAAGGCTTGGCCATGTTAACAAAGCAGCATGAATAAATAAAAGTACTGGATACCATCACCTTGCCTGAACCAAAACTGGTTAAGAAAGTCGATTCTTGAAAATATCGAGGGGCTGGAGCCAGGTTCATATTAAATTTTAAAACGTTCTTTGAAACGCTCAAACAGTGGCGAAAGGCTTCAGGATAGTAAATCCTGCATGATCTCATAACCGTGTCATTGACTTCAATAACGCCCCTAATATCGTGAAAGGCAATTATCGCATTAGAAAGTTTTTTGAAACTTGCCTCACCATGACGACCCCCAGTGAGCACTAACACTATCAGGGCACTGACACACAGCATTCTTTTAAGCAAAAATTTATAAGTTTGTTTCCATCGTTTTATGTCATTGTATTTTTTCAGTATCACACTATATTTTCAACTTTTTATTTCCCCTTTCATCATTTCATCTGTTGAAGACTGCGGTTTAGGCAGTAGAAAGCTTGTGTTATAAGAATTCTTAAATTCTTAGTTAAAGGACGTCTTAGACTGAAAAGGTTTTGTGTTCTTATTGTTCACCGTGGAAAGGTTGGTGACTAGTGTCTGCGTGGATCAGACGACGGGATGAAAATTAGCAACATGCAGTTGACATCAATGGGTTGACCTCGGAACGAAGGAGGAATTCAAGTGAACCTCACATAAGCGTAAAATTCATGGCTAAAATGTAGACAGACTGTCTTGCCAAGTAAAACTCTCCTAACTAAGTGCATTACTAGCAATGACACCACAACGGCTCCATAACAGTTGAAAATGATGTAGCTCAGCTGTTTGATGACTCGTTCAATGTTTCAGCTGGAACAGTTAGGCGGAGTAAAAAACGCGGCATGAATTGAAGAATGGCAGAGGAAAGATTATCTCCGAAAATTTCCATTCTCCACTGAATTGTGTCCATACTGAAGCATACTAACGTCCTGTATGTATTCAAAGCTGAGTTTTCTTTTCGCTTGTAAGTTCACTTCTGAAGGAAAGAAAGCGCCTTCGTTCACTGTAAGGAATTGGGTTACAAATTTACCATACTTTGGCTGGAACAAGGAAGCAGCGAGTGTTTCATGACTGCAGTTTTTCTTGGAAACTTCGGAAAAGGTTAAGTTGATTCGGCTGATCGATCTTATGTAGCTAGAGTCTGGTTTGCGGCCTTGAGACCCTTCAGAGCTCGGTTCCGGCGAAAGGAAGCTTTCATCAGTTTTATTACTTCGTTTAATGGGCCGTTTTTCAACAGCCCAGGTTGAATTGTTGAAAGTCTCTTTTGTTGCGCTGTCCTCTTGCTTGTTAACTAGTTCGCCAGTGCAATTTGTTGATTCGGCGTTTAAACCAAGAGCACCCGAGTTTATTTTACTTATCCTTTTCAGCAAATCACGCGAGGACTTGTCATTCTTCCAAAATAGTTTGTGGACGCGAAGAATTTGTGGTCGACGAGCAAGAGAAATGTGGTCGGTTTTGTCTGCCAGCCAGCCATTGCAAACACCTTCTGCCACGTTTGGTAATGCTGAAAGTTGTGCCATTTCGTGTAGATGGAACACTTTGCTTAATTAAAGATTCTCCCTTCGATCTTTGTTGTCTTATTTGTTGTGACAAAATTGGTCGCCCAATATCAAACAACAGCCTTCTGTAATGGAAAGAGCAGAATGTGATCAGGGAAAAAGCTGCAATATTAAACCTGTTCCGGTGCATGTATTAATGTGAGGTTACACAATATACCGGTAGAAAAAATTATTTTAACATCGTCCAACTAGGTGGAAAATCGGTTGAGTTCTTTGAATTTTCACTATTGACTTCTGGTTATTGGCTTTTACAGTTCTTTCCTGGCAGAAAAATTCCTCAGGTTTGCTTGTGATCACTCGAATGAAGCACATCGAGCAGTACATTTATGAGTTAACCAATCACTTTAACTATACAATGTGCATGATAATTAATCTGTAGAGTCTTGTTGAGCTGCATGTTTTTCATATGATGTTGTTCTTTTGACTTTTTCCTTCCCACTTTTCCTGTCGGAATTTTATCCTGGCTCCATAAGAAGGTAAAGAGGTGAAGTGACAAAAGGGTAGAAATGGGCGTACGATGGTGTGATCTTATCACGCAGTAAATCACAAATCGCAGTTAAGAAGAGAGCTATTCTTACAAGAATGATACAAAATCCCACATACTGTATGATGCCGGCGGATCATAACATGTTTACAATATCTGAACAAGAACGAAAAGGATGCTGTCATAGCTATCAATTGTTAATTTGATTTACGCTCAATAAAGAGCAACACAAACTCATCAAATAAAAGAAACAGTTGTTATACTTACTGCTATTTTCTGCTTTTCTCGAATTCTGTAAAATAGTGAAATAACTGCTCACGTGTAGTCTTCGTTTGTTGCTGGCGTTTACGTAGTTCATTCTTGTTTATGGCACTGCACACGACTTGATTATACTGTGAAATGATATAACAAATAGCTTGATTTATTGCTGACATCACTTTGGAAACTAGTGACACTTCAGTACTTTATATTGTAGTTACCAACACATTTCAATTAACTTCCAAACTTTTACAATGGCATAAAGACAAATTGCTTCTGACAGTAACCCCCAACCGAGTAGAAACTTAGCCAAGTAGAAACTTAGTGACATTTTTGCACTAAAAAAGAAATAGAAACAAAGTTAGTTGAATTTTTATAATATTTGCTACATCTAAAAATCTTACTTCGCAGTAAATGTCAGTTTCAAAGTAACTGGGTAATGAGCGTCGCAAAATGGTTACTTTAACTTTTTTCCTTTTTCAAGAGATTTTGAGAAACTCGTTGAGACATGTTAGCATACTATATAATATAAACAATGCTTTCATGGTAGCTTTTTTTGTTTTCAAATACGAGTGATATTTGTCTTTGTTTAAGGCTAACAAAGAGGAGTCTGCAAATTAATCCTGAATTGAACTGGTCCTGAATTGAACTTTTAGTAGGCTAGATTGTTAGTTAATACCAGTTCACATTCTAAACATCTTAGGTCAAGGCAGTTGAGTCTGTGTTCGTTTATTCATTTATTTACTGAAGCGTATTTACGAGCTGGCCACTGGTCGAGTGCTAATCAAATAATAAAAAAAACAATGCGGTCACTCGGCGATTTACTTGAAAGCCAATACTTGACCTCAATACTCGTGTACGTAAGTGTGTTTGTTTGCTAGAGAAGCAATACTCGTAATTACTTCTTCCTTTTAGCAGCGTCAGCATTACAATGCAAGTCATGCAACACAACTAGCTTTGACACAAGATGTCATTTAAGAGGAGTCAGTAACAGGTATCATGTTTTTGTCCATTAGAGCGCTGAAGGTCTTGTAATCCCCCAGTTTACTGGACTTTTTACTTCATTAATTAATACTAATTCTTGAAAGACAGCTATAAATACTTACAATTTCGTTTTCTTTTTCTCATTTGCGCTGTTTCCGGTCCTCCTCTCGGCTCGTCTTAACTACCAATTGGTCATGAATTTGTTGTTAAGGAAGGTTTCTAACCGTCATATTTTGAAAACCAGACCTAGTAAGGATAAGCTTTTTGGACAAGTTTGTGCCATTGAAGAATCCTGCAGATTTAAAGTTTAAAATCACGGCCATATTTGACCAGTCACATGACCAGAATAGAAAAAACCCTAAAACTTTAAAAAAGGCATTTATATCCGAAAATTAAAATCAGTCTCAATAGATTACGACGGTCCACAAGCTTGATGCTACATATGGGCTTTATGAAACTCACATTATCATAAAATCTATCAGGTAATAAACATTCGTATTAACAGACTTTCTACAGCAGTTACGTGTTCCTCTTTTACTTGTAGAGAGTATTCCCATGCGCACGATTATAAAGAAGGCTAAGTTATTTCTGGTTTATAAGAATAATCGGAACTCTTCCTCTTTTCTTCTACGTTTTAGGGATTGTAAGGACCGTTCGCGCTAATTGTTTCTGCGCATCCTTACTGCGCACGAAAATTCACACGCCACGTCATACATCGATGCGCGCGCTAAGTAATAAAATGAACAATGGTAGGACAGATGGCCATTGCTATAGCTTTACCTGGATTTATCGATCTTGGACGTTCGGTGACCCCCATTTTTCTTTTGATGGATCATTTTCTCTACCGATTTTCTACGTTTAGCGAAAAAATGAAGAAAATCTATCAATTAGAAGTTTGATGTTTTTGCAAAATGCACCATCGGTTTCCATTATTTTTAGCTCTTTGTTTATCTGTGCGGCGGCTTCAAATGCCTCTTGAAGGGTTAAGGGTTGGCAACATTTGCAATTATTTACGCAACAGACCCACTACTACAACATATGACTAAGATCGTTTCCCTCCGTTAACTCGCCAAAGTAGAGCATGCTGAATTACGTGCGCCGTTTTCTCAAAATTAGTGTAGTTTTCCTTACGCTTTATCTTTGAAACGAAGTCGGTGACCCCCGATTTGTTTGCATTTCTGACACAAGTAACTCATTATCTGACTGCAGGGTTACGGACTGACACTAGTTACGCACGCAAAATCATATTTTTTTTTCAAAGCAAACGTTCCCTCATGTAAAGTTCGCCATTTAGCACTGCAAAACGCTCCAAAGCTTCCCTCTAGATATCGCCTTCAGCAGTCCGTTAGCAACTGCTCTAACTCTGTAGTTAAGAAGGACCCCCTTTACTCGTCTGCGCGATACTACCTTTAAGTTATTGGTACTTAATTTCGCAGGTACTTTATTTCGCGAATTTGGCGAGACAGTATTTCGCGGGGTTTTATTATCGCGATTTCAACAGGCAAATATGAAAAGAGGGCATTAAATTTCGCGATTTCGGCGGTGTCAACTTCATGTTATTTTTCAAAAGTCTGAACTTTTCAGAATTTCTAGATAATTACTGGAACAAGCAAAAGGCATAACGTTATTTAACAACAGAAGATACAAAATGGAACTTACCAGTAAAACCAGCAATAGTTTGTGTATTTGTCGATACATATCCTGTATATGTTGTTGTTGTTGTTGTTGTTGCATGTTAATCATTTTTTTTTCTGTGATTTGAATTTTCTATATGGGTGTTAAATTTCGCGTGTTTAAATTTCGCGAGGATTTTTATTCGCGGGTCTTTAATTTCGCGATTTTCGCGACTGTTAATAAATCGCGAAATTAAAGACCCGCGAATAAAAGACCTGCGAAATTAAGTACCTTAGTTTCCTCAGATTTTATGGTGCGATTTGGAGCCTGCCAGATGAATACCATGCAAGAGTAACGAATGACGGGTATTAACTATTTGGTAGCTAGACTATCTTACTTAACTGAATTAAGAGGTAAAACATCGAGAAAAATAAATATCCTCACGGAAAATGGATACTGAATAATTTAACCAGCTTTTATTTCCGACATGCAATGGTGGAACGCTATGACGAAATGGTAACTGATACCATCAGAGCTAGGCGTTATCGCTTCGTCTCAGTCATTGGCACCGATACCAGCAGTCTTTGCGGCAGTTCGTCAGATAACAGTTCTCTCGAGAGAGTGTTACCTGGCGACGCAGAGAAATAATTGGTCTTAGTCCTTTCACATGCATATCGAAAGTGACATTGACAATAGGAGATAATTTTTATTTTAATTACTACAATGGAATGTCTGGTCCATTTATACCTATAGCGTGGATTGCTAGCCGTTTTATTAACACTCGGACGTACAAGGGAATGGGACAGTGTGACATAGAGAAAGAGAAAAAGCTAGAGAAGGGCTGAGAGCCATTCTTGTCAATTTTTTCTCCCGATTACATGAAAGTGTTTCACTTTGGGATGCTGATATTTTCAGACGCATTTTGAGAAAGAACAGTTTCTCTATTGCTTTTAACGTTGCTATGGTAACCGTGTTTTGATTTTACCTAAAACTGCAAAGGACCGATTTCCTGGGATAGTGGTTCGTTCCAGTGATATTCTTGTCGCGTATACGCTGCGTAATATGCAACATGGAATAAACAAACGGCTTTTTAGACTATATCAGGCATAAAACCAGTGTTTGCATCCGGTATAAGGCAATAAGAAACAGCACCAATGTTCATCGTCTGGTTTTCTCGTACGAAACAAAATCAAAGACCTCATGTTCATGAATATAGACTATCAACACAGTTACGCGGATCGGTTCTGACAAAACAATCTTAATATTTATCGATACCTGCCACAACCTAGAGGTTCTCAAGCTATTACAAGCAATTGCACAATACTTCCAAATGGCTGCACTGAATAAATTTTAATGGCCCGGGGTCACAGAGCTGTCTGATGCACAGGTTTTTGTCGTCAAGTCCAACATTATCTCCGCTAATTTAATTTTATTCCGCTTTCAGGTTCATCTAATCTCTATATCACTATCACAGATCAATTGTCATTGTAACCCCAATTGGGTTACGCATTATGCTTTAAGCAAGACGTGTTCGTTGGCATGATTCCATTTATCAAACCGATGTATGTAGAATCAGGTTTACGCGTAGAAATTTCCTCCGCCATCAGCGAATTTGTTGGTAGTGATTGATGGAGGCTAAAACCTTTATTGCCTTCCTTGACGCCTTCTAAAGGATATCGTTCAGCAAATGTGCTAAGGTTCCCTGTACTATAGCTTCTTTTAATCAAGTGTTTTGGTCTCGGTTCAGTTACTTGAACGTTCATGGTATCGATTAGATTTATTCCAGGTTTAATTGCAAATACAGACATTTTTATGGAACTCATTCTCCTCAGCCATTCTTGGGAGATATTGCCATCTGTCCAAGGCACCTTTTGAACTCGAGGGATTGTAGATTTAGCAGCCACTACTTCACCATTTGTTTCACTTTCTTCCGATATACGTGGAAGTGGATTAAAACACTTTGCCATCGTTCTGAACAACACCGGCTAAAAAGTCTGGAAAGAAGTGAAAAGCGAAGCTCCCAGTTCTAAACACCTGTGGTGTGTTAAACTATCTGCAAAATAAAACGAACATAGTTTCAATACACTTAGTTGTAGGCGCTCGATGCTCCCACGTGATTACATTTCTTAGCTTCTTACCAATTTCTGACGAATCTCAGTGAGTCGAGTGCAACAACAACCAAACAAACACTGAGAAAAACCCGCAAAAAGTTGACTCAGATGAATGGCCTTTCCAATGCAATTACGTAACGACGCTCACGAGGTGAACGCCACAAACATTCGCGCACCTCACTTGTGCCTGGTCTAACAAATAATTGGATGTGAGATAAAGCAAGACAATTACGTGCAAAGCTTATGGGATTATTTTCGATTTGTTCTGCTTTCCGTTACCAGTAATGGACGACCTTTTGATTACTTAAGCATTCCTGTAGTGAATTATAGATAGAACTGTTCTTTGCACTTTTTGTATTAACGTTATTAAAATACCAGCGCATTCTAATCCATTTTCACGCAAATATAGTATCGTTGCTTGTCATTTTTGTACAGCCAATATATTTAAACCTGCTTTTGCAATACATTTGCTTAAAATCTTTAGAGGCATTTTCAGACGTGGAGAAAGCGCCCGCAAAAACTTGAGTCATAAAATATCATGTACAAACCTTAGTAAATTAACGTACAACCATGCACATAAACAGATATAACGAATGGTTCTGCTTTTCACGTTGTGGTCAGTATTAAGTTGTTGTTTTGCTGCCTGGATCAACAAGAACGATTGTGGTACGAGGCACGCGTACAGCAAATCTTGCTAAATCTGTAGTAAAAGCAGAAAAAAAGGTCTTAAACTTAAGCCGCTCACCCCTCTCAGATATAACTTGGCCGATAACAATCAATCAATCAAAAAAAGTAATGCATACTGTCTCTTAAAGGACTTGGTTCTTTTCAATTTTGTGCTTTACCTCCTGCTGAGAGATAAGTTTCAAAGCAAAGCCGTTATGCTCAATTGGCTGTTTGTACCTTCCGTCAACACTTGTTTTGTTTCTTTTGTTCTCGTGTAACTTTAGTTTATCAACTTATCAGCACATACCAACAGAACTACAGGACCTTTTCAGCGACGACTGTTCCCTGTACCTGGTAAAAGAACTACTGAGACTCGTATGATTGTTATTGAACTGCTCCAATAACTACAGGTGTAATATAATTAACGCTCACATCAATAGCAACCGATATTTTTGGGCTGGAATTCGAAACGACAAAAGAGACGCTTAATAATCCAACCGCATTACTGGACTTCATTGTAGAAATACAATGGCCACACAGAAACCTGCACAGACAGCGAGGAAGCAAACGAACAAAACAAACTATAACTTGGAATTGCACTGCTAAAGTAATCAGCTCATAAGTACTTTAATATCAGCTCACTGATATATTTTGTGCAAACTCTTTTATACTAGCCTAATATCAACTTGTGTTCACTTCGGGATATTGTGATCTACATGAGCATATTGAAAACAATTTGCGTCGTTTATACGAGGGAAAAATGCCATACAGACGATCCAAGCGTCCGCCGGTGAACCTCCGCCCTATCACAGCACAGCATAATTGCTTTATCAAGTTATCAACATTAGATATAAGTTGGATGTCATGAATTGTTTTCGTGACTTTAATATTTGTAAATGAGTATGTTTTTTTAGTTATTTCAAGCGTCCCAATAATTATAATTACTACTTAACTTTTTCTTTTTTTTTTTTTTACAAGGTTAGGTACTTGACACTTCATTAACCTTTTTTTTCATTTCATGTACTTTCAAAGTCCTTGTCTACACGAGTTAGATGTTCATTCCAATCTGAGGCCGGGACTTGCAGTTTGATTATAGTACATTAGACCGGCTACGCAAGCTTATGATTCTTAATTTTTTTTTTTTTTCCAGAGAACGCTATATTCAATTTTATAGATCATGATCAATCCAGTTAACGGATACTCGATATTTTTAAGTTTGATTATAGTTAGAGGAAAGGCATTAAATTAATTCAACGTGACCATACTTCTCTTGGGCACAAAGGGCCTGGAGGAGGCATGGAAAAAAGTCAATCACTGCATGGGAAAAAACGTCAAACATTCAACGATGAGGGAAGCAACATGTAAAAAGGCAATCAACGACTACCAGTAAAATGCATGACAAATTCTTATGATTTATTCTTTGGTCAAAGCTTGGCAAACGAACATAGCCGGATCATTTCTTAATATACATTAACTCAATTTGATAAAATCTAAATTTCGTCAGATCTTTAACTGGTTTTACAACATTCGTGTCTCATGTTGTCCATGACTTCTAGATTGTAGCAAAGAACTGCACTTTCACTGAATATATTTGCAACTTAACCCGTAAGGGATATCACACGGCAGTCGACGATACGGAAAATATTGCACTTGAGTCCAAGAGGGGTCTCGTATTTTACGAGTGGTGAATTTTCCACCAAAACACTGGTGCCTGTAATATAATAAATTACAATATTTCACTGAACAAATTATTTGTTTATTTAAATTATATTTCACTTTACTACAGCAAGCATCTAAAGAAGAGATCTTTAGAACTTTATCAACTGCTTCGCATATGTCCATGATTTTTGTCCTGGTGAAAAGGCTTGGCAGGTGCGAACCCATCGGTAGTTTTCTATATTGTAACATGTAAAGAATACCTTTTAATGGAACGACAAGAAAGTTCACCTAGGAAATAATGATCAAAAAAGTAACAGACACCATAAAATCTACCCACACAAAGAAATCACTGGCGTTGAGGATAGCATGATCACACACTATTCTAGTCCTTGATAATAACACCGTCATTCAAATTAATTCAATGAAACCTTGAGATGATCATGTGAAAATCGTCGTAAAATGAATGAAAAACAAAGGATTTTATCCACTAAATGACCTAAACCATTTCTCACTCTTATTTTACCAGGTTTTAAAACTGCCTGATCGCATTTTACATGTCGGAGCTAGCATCCTAGACTTGCTATTTGTTGAATATATTCGGAACTGTTCGACATTTGACGACGAGTGCTTCTTTGAGAAGAGCAGAAGAGATTTCTTGGAACAAACATGTTCATTTGTATGCACTTCAAATTCTTACAGTTTTTCTCCTTTTTGGAGTCAGAGTCCTTTGTGTGATTGTGTGCCTCGTCATCATGACTTCTACGCTGTGATTCTTTCTGCGTGAATCCACTAATCAACGAGATGTAAGTAGAATCTGGTTTACGCACGTGATCAGTTTTAGAAATAGGCTTGTTCCTGACACAAGGACGATCGCGAATATGGTCTTCTTTAACAACTCTTCTGAGGCGCTCGATCGACTCGCTTTTACACCCTGCAGGCGAATCTTGGTTGGAAGCTTCGAATGCAGCTCGCTTATCAACACTGCTGCGCTTTTCTCCCGGCATCCTCTCGGCGCGATCAGAGCCTTTAGCCCTGGAAGAATCTAACGATGTTAAAGTAGATCTTAGCCTGTTGATTTTGTACAGCCATTCGTCCGAGAGTTTGGTATCCGTCCAATTCAATGTTTGAACCTGAGGAACGCGTGTATGAGGCAGTGCCGGTTTTTCTATTTCTGCCGTTTCGTCTTCCTCTATTACTCGAGGTAGAGGGTTCAACCGCTTTATCAACGGATACGAGTTCGAGCGGGGGCGGTTATATTTGACTTTGGGCCAGGCCACGTTGCTGACTTGCTCCACGTACGCTCTTGACAAGCAGGAGGAACATGTATAGGATGATGCAGATTTCAGAACATCCTTTTGCCGGCGAAAACTTAAGACTTTCTCTGCCAGGGTGTCTCGTCTTAAACGCTGTTCTTCGTTGAGGCTCCTGTCGCCCGCAATATCGACCAGGAAAAGCTCCATCTCTGAAAAGCAAATAGCAGATTAAGTTCTGTACATTAACCATTTGCATCCAGGACTAAAAGCCTAGCTGAGACGTGACTCTAAGAAAAGCCGCCTTCAAGAAGCCGTTTAAAGAAAAGCCGCTTTCAAGAGGCCGTTTAAAATCACGCTTAACATCTTAGGCTCGAGATAACCTCAGCAGATATAGCCTGACAGACAAGACACAAATTTGACGGTGTGGCCGGTCAACGACTTTGGTTTCATCACCACTTCAGATTACACCATTCCACAATTGCATTTTTTTCTACAGATAGACAAGGAACTCATTTGACCATGCAGGTAAGGTGGCCTGCCTGTGCAAAGAACAGGTGTCTTTATATATGACTCCAGGGCCTTATTTTGCCAGCACCCAATGAAATCTTCGGTAGTCCGGTAGAGTTTGGCCAACCGTTTAAAATCATTATTTTTTGTGATAATTTGTGGTGTTTACTAAGACTTGAGTCCTAAATAATTATAGCCGTGAGACTATTCAGGCATATACAAAATATTATAATAAGGCATTAAAATTATATAAACATTGGTTACGTAATATATAATTGTATAACAACACTGTTATATAATAATGTAATAAGGTTGTCTCGTAACATTTATAATTAAGAGCATTACTAAGGGCGCTGAATTTTTTCGCTCTACTAACATTTTCTGCTGCAAGTTCTAAGCGTCAATTCTCCTCACCGAATTTCATATGCCACTCTTTACAACAATGTAAAACTAGCGCCGATAATTTGCCAGATCTTGACTTTTTCTATAGAGGAAGATTCCACTATTTTTTTCTCCCCATTACGGAAAAAAAACAATCGACATACAATTTTGAAATGTACTTCGGAGTGATTCGCTGACATTACTCCGCTTTGTTTTGAATAACAAACTAGCTCATCTTAACAGCATATTCAAGCCCAAAAACAAATCATGGAAATGTTAAAATGACGTTCGGCTTCAGACCAAAAGTAGGCGTTTTTATTATGGGAATAACAGAGAAAAACAATGACCAGGTTAAGCTTCATTCGGTTTACAATTGTATCAGATGTTTTTCTTTCAAATGAATCTTCCTCGTAAAACATCCATTGTCTGTTCCTAGAAGCACTTCCCCAGGCTAAAAGGAAAAATTATTTTGGGGCCTCACCGGATCAAACAAGACTTACTAACCTTTCATTCCCTCCGACGCGGGTTTGGTGGCACTAAGCCAAACCGACGACAGTTAGCAACAAGTGCTCGAGCGAAGTCATTCGAAATGAAGATCCGAGATGGATATCTTAAAATAATTATTGTACTTTAACCTGATTTACAGTTAAGCAAGGCGGTAGATATGATGAGAGCGGTTTATACGGTTGCGTTAATACCGATTAAGAACACAGCGCGATAACACAGCAGACAAGTATGTTGAAGACCCCTCGGTCAAGGTAAATCTGAAATATCTCATATTTATCCCTAGGGCCAGGGTCAAACCACATCTCGGAAATCCATTTTTTAGTTCTGCAAATCCTGTTTCTTGTAAAGAATTTTCCATCAGATTAACGTTTTCATAGTCTAATATTCAGCGAAACCGGCTTGAAGAACATAAATATACCTGTCATTTTGATAAACTTCCTGTTTGGCATAAACCTGTTGGAATATATATCGCGTGAATCGTAGTGAAGCTGTTCTGCCAATGAATCACTTTTGTCCTGTTTTGAACATGCTATGACGAAATATTCACGCAGATCTCGGCAGAAGATCGCTACAACTGAAGACCGGCTTAACGATTGCTGAGATCGAGAAATATACTCATGTGATTTGCACGCATGAATATTTTATGAAGGCTGTTTAGTCCACTGCCAAGGGCAATATGTCACACTTTGACAGGCCGCATAATGGAAAGCCGAAATGTAAACAAAAGCAGAAAAAAGAAATTATAACTTGTTTAGTCAAACTTGGCATTGAAGGCAAATATCGACCGTGTCTCCTCTCGCAAATTCAACAATGAAATTATCATGAGCATTATTTGCGTTTAATATAACATAGTGTAAACTTATTTTTCTTTATCCTGGTTTTATAGTTATTTTCCCGATTTTGTCTGAATACGGAAGTTGTAATCTTATGGCATCCTCCCTCCAAAACACTGGAACGAAACTGCGTCCAGTTTCCCTTGAGACCGGCTTGTACGAAACTACAGTGTAATATAAGTTGATCATTCGAGCGATCCTTCTCGATAGCGAATTTTCTGGTATTAAAAACGAGAACTTCGAGTTGATAATTTTATTCCATTTCGCCGACGAAAACATTCGCTATATGACAGGTGAATACATTTCGACAAATGTAGTCGACCGCTCGGAGGCAACCCTTTAAATTCCAAATAAGTATAAATCGGCTGTCTTGCACACGCACACACAAGTTTATAAGTGTCGACTATATTAACTCGTTAAAACCGTGTTCTCTACAATCTCGTGGCAAAATGAACGAAAGGTGTCTGGAACAGACTTAATTGAGTTAACGATTTTCAACACGTCATGTGTCGAAATTTCCAGCTATCCGCCTACACCTCCTAGCAGAAATTCCTAAATTGTTTACCAGATACTTAACGTATTTTCACGTAGAAGACTTGCTGCGATTTTAAGAGTCTTCCTCGCTACGATAGCGGAACAGATTCAAAGACATAAAAGGCTTTGAATAAAAGAAAAGGCCAAAAAATATCTGGGTTAGTTTCGACGATAAGTCACGCGATGGCTGTAGTTATGCTTTGTACACAAATACGGCTTAACTTGCGATGACTGCTGAGATATCTGTTCTAAATTATAAACTGAAAAGTCTATCGAGACTTGAGAAATGTATTACCTGCAAAGATATCTTCCACGTCTTTCTCTACAGCTTTCATGTCGACTTGCAATTGCTGTGACTCGCTCGAGCGGCGATCCGATAACGACTGAGGTGAACACTCTGCAGCAACTGTTTTCAATTTGAGATTTTGCCGATAGTCAGTTTTGACATCGCAAACAATCGCCAGTGACACGTGTCTATTGAAATAACCCCGCTACTGGCTGAGAAGATTCCGCAGTCAGGAGAGCAATGTCCTTGTCAGCCTCGAGTAACTTCTGAACCGCGACGAAACTAATTTCTGTCAAAAAACCGTAAAATTCGTGTTTAAATCCACACTCGGGGAACAGATCCGGAAGCTATAGCGAGAGTGGGTTATATATAACAATGAAATAGTATTTTCGTTCTGTTTGTTTTGGAAACATCCAGCAGTTCACGGGTTTTAAGAATGCACGTTTGAAGTACCTTAACATTAATGCGCTCAACTAAATCTCCATTATTTTTTGATATTTTCTTTCTAGAAATATGAGCAAAGAAAAATAAGTACTAAAACAATGAAGGTGCCGTTAATTATACTTATTTTTTCTCTTTTGTACTTGCTTTGTGTCAGATGTTTAAAAATATATATGTTAATTTCGGCCCACGCCTGATTGCGTTTTGCGATAAATGAATTTTTTTTAGAATTTCGGTGAATTTTAAAAATTTCAAGTCAGCGGGATATGATATTAGATCACGTACAAGTCGGTATAAAAGAAAAATAATAGCATTTAGCAGATCTTTGGGAAAATGTTGAACAGCACTTCAAAAAATTGTTACAAACAAAGATTTTGGGGTAGTTGTTTCAAAAGCATCTTGAAACGCAAGGCTCAACAAATTGCAAAATATATTGCATCCCTGAACAGCTGTGAAAAAAATATGGCTTTGGTTTGTCAGTGTTCTCATATAATGAAACGGCAAAGATTGAAGCTCTATAAAATGCAAACCAAACGCTTTCTCGTTTTCCAAACTTTCATTTATATATACATATAGTTCAACTTTGTAGTTCTTCTCTCTAACAGTTCTCAATTCCGTCTATAACACTTTCTCAGGGTCTTGAAGTCTTCGAGTGCCGCTGAGAGAAAATAATGCAATACATAAATGCAATAGATATACACAAAGTGTCTTGTAGCTCACGCGATGAAAACCATGTCCTTTGAGTAGTTTTTTTTTTCTAAAAAAATAATTTTTTTTCATCAATAGAAAAAAATTTTTGCGACTTTCTTTTCTTTTCGTAAGAATGCGAAAAATGTGCGCGAATTGTATGACATGATACGTGACTCATTTTTCGCGCCAATCTCTGTCAACAAAATCATGTAATGAATTGTTTGCCTGTCTCATCGTGGAATAACAAGAATCGGATAATCAAAAGCGCGTATTTCATTCACCTTTGAAATTGGCTGAGAGTTCTGCCTGTGTTGACAATGCGTCAAACCCACCGAGGAACGTGATAAACGCTCAACTGATATCACCGGGATTCAACGTAAACATAACGTAAGACAACCAATGATCAAAATCTGTTGTGATCCAATTTCGCACACACGCGCAAGGATATTTTGCATAGTTTGAAACATAATTCGGCTCATCTTAAAATTTTAAGTGCAAATATATCACACCACTTGCTTGCGTTCAAAATCTTTGATTTCATGAGAGGAGATGCTATTCGTTAAAAGCATTTCGTGAGAGACAATGCTAAACGTTTGATGAAAGCATTTTCGTTGAATTATATATTCAGCCTGCAAACGCTACGAGTAACTAAATACATATGTAATACCCAGATTTTACTTCTGAATTGTGTATATGTTATTTCAGTAAGAAATGAAAAACATGCTATTTAGAATGTTAGGAGGTACACGTTTAAGACTGCAATTCTCCGCTTGTAACTTAAAATTGATGTGTTCTCCTGTTGTTTCTCGTTTATAATAGCAAAATACAACTCCAGGCAAGTCTTTCAAAGGTTCATTTCCTATTTTTGACAGATGGGCTGACAACTATCACGTGCGTACATATTGCCGCTTGGCAGAGATCAATAACTTCAGTGAAAATAACAATTTAAAAATGAGACTTGTACACTGAGGATAAAAATAACTCGATTGAGCTATGATTGTCCCCTAAAAATAACGCGAAGATTATGAAATAAAATCCCTTCAGGTGCTTCCGCTCTGGAAACAAAGAACAAAACAGACAAAATAAAACAAGAGTGAAAAAAAAAAAAATCATCTCGAAAAACATGTCTCATACAAAGTATTTTACAAACTCTTGAACACAAGTGAACGTGTTGAGAAGAACGTTTTTAGTTTTTACTACTTGTCAGGGCATACAGCCAGACCAAGTTAAAGTTTCCTGTCCGGTGAAGGAAATGCGTGGGTCGATCAATTCTGTTTTATTTCAGGTAAATTTCGAGCCGGCTAATTAACGTTCAAGAACAAAATCAATAGCCGAGAGATCTACCATCGATAGTGAAGCGTACAAGGGACGAGTACATCTCCACGACTCTTTTCTCCATCATGCAGAGAAATAATCATATTTCACACCCGCTTCCACGTCCTGTTAGCCGCGTGGCATTTCTTTAGAAATGCAACTATTTAGCGCGTAAGGGGGCCGTGAAAAGCATGGAGTTCACAGTTTTCAAGAATAAACAGAAACGAACTTCTGATACTGGTAGTAGTGGTATTGCTAGAGTAGATCTGCCTGTCAGTTCTCAATTAAAAGGCGGGCAGGATAGAATTCGGTTTTATAGCAGCACTGAGCGAACCTTTGAGTGGGTTGGAATTCTCACATCATTTCCTTAATTTGCCATAGCGAAAGTCTTAGCATAAATCATAATCCCGCCCTCCTGAGGAGGGCTTAATCAGTGAAGTAAATAATTGCCTGGTTTGGAGTGGCGAAGAAGAGGAACACGAGATGTTTCGTCAGGTTTTCATTCGTACTAAATACACGTTAGACGAGTTTATTATTGTATGCTATTCCCGAATTTTCTAAAATCAATAACTTCCGTTTACAGAGAAACATTAAAAGAACGATTACATGTATGTGATTTCTGGCGAAATGCACCGTTCTATCGAGATTAAGTGTCGTTTTAAAATTCGTCGCTTTTTCTATACTACTTTTGAAAGTAAGCGCCATTATGAAAACTGATATATGAAAAATTTAACGATTATTTTAGTGGGTCTGAAGAGAAACAGGCAAAAAATAATTGTGTATGATCTTAAATATTTTAATATACAGCCGAACCGTAGTAATTGCTTACTGCTAAATTAGCTCGGAAAGGCTAAGAAAGTTATGCCCCCTATGCATATAAGCCTTATTTTCAAGATAACCTCTCTTAATTATTATTTTAGGTATGGCTATTCGTGCACAGTGGTGTAGGATGAAAAAGCGCGTTAAGCCGCTTGGACCGGCAATCCACGTGGTTAGAAAATTCCCCTCAGAAAATAAGCTACCTGTATTTCTAGACTCTCTTGGGTGCTATAAAAATAACTCTCTTATAAACCCTTCATCCGGCCTCTTCATGTTCTAAATGAGCAACTAACGAAAGCTATCCTTGAAGTACTTGCAGCCCTATGACAAGAAGGTGCTTATGAAACGTTCTACTGCACACTCTTTAGATTGATGTTTGATGGTGTTTATGGGGGGATGGTGCATGGTTTAGAAGGGGAACTAATCGTGAGTGTGTTGTTGTTGTTGTATCTTTGGATGCATTACTTCTGAGAATTTTTTTTTTCTCCATTCAGTAATACGATGCATTGCAATATGAATTATCTAAAATCTTGTGCTGCAATACCTCCCAAAGAAGTTTAAAACTTTGTACCTGTGCATAAAACTTACCGTGAAAGAAGTTTCGTGATATGTGGCTTTCGTCCAAAACTTACAGAAGCTGTTGTTTGGGAGTTCAGAGAATTAACAATAGAAAAACCGATTTTGCATGCAATACTATACGTTACTACGTGACTAAACCATGTCATCAATTAATTACTCGCGTGTCCCATCAAATTTGGAGGTTACGGAAACAAAACAACAGCTGTGATAGGAAAAAATCTTTAATTTAAGGTTGAAAGGTTTGTCAAAATTGTGCGTCATGTTTCACAATCACGCAACAATACCTCAAATATTTTATCCGGTAATTCCACTCAAGCTTTTAAGAAAATTTCTTGCTGCCGGCAAAAATCAGGGTTTCGTGTGTCCAGACAGGCAATTTTAGCAATATGTAGGGCGGCGTGCACACTGCGCCGGAGAAATTCGAAAACCCATCTTTATTTCTACTCCCCGGGCCGTCACGAAAACGAAGATTTTCGAAAACGCTCTTGAAACCGAAGGAATCTGAGAACGCCGGCTTTTCGTTTTTCGTGTGCACGGCAAACAATTTGAAAACGGAACTTTTCGAGAACGCTCTTCAAACCAGAGGAATTTCAAAACGCCGGCTTTTCGTTTTTCGTGTGCAAGGCAAACATGTTGAAAACGGAGGTTTCCGAAAACGATGGCGTCACGGTAATCCTGCGTTTTTAAATTCATCCGGCGTAATGTGAACGGAAAATATTTGATGCGTTTTCAGAGTAAAACCTCCGTTTTCAAATTCCTCCACCGTACTGTGGCCGGGTCCTAATTTTTCTGTCGCCAGGAAAATTTTGTCAGATTGCGACATAATTAATTAAAAACTTATTTTTCGTGTAGCTAAAGGACAACTTGTGTACGTGGGCATTTTTCATAAGCTAGTTAGGGGAAAAGATATAACTATTTTGCTTTTTTTTTTCCACGGTCTAGCTTTAGGTGGCATGAACAAATGCCAATGGTTATATTCTCAGCCCGCGTTACTAAAATTCGAGATTAGTTTTACGTTATAAGCATGTGAATTGACTATGAAAAGCTCGATCTATATCTATATATAGATTTTTTTTCTGGAAGCGTTGAGTTGTATCCCTAGCGATGAGGTCCAGGTGATACGATAAGACTATCTCGAAAAATATAAATCGAAAAACACTTAAAGTTATTGAGAAGACTATTTTTTAAAACTTGAATATAACTGGAAGCGTAAGTGGTAGAAGTAGTGATAGAGGAGATAAAAACGGCTTTATAGTACTCAAGCACCTTCACGAAGACTTGAAAGTTTATAAATTTTCACACCATTTTGACCTGCCGCATTATTGGAATTGCCTCAGGTTTCTTGAGATTCTATTGCTGAGCCGTATTAATTACTTTCAAAAGTTAATGATCGGACCTATAATGAAATAGGGACATGTAACAAGTCGTAACGAAAAAGTACAATCAAACATGAAGCAGTGATTGGAATGAATTTAGCCAAGATCCCTAACACAAAGCTCTTCTCTTTATTAAAGTTTTTTTTACTTGTATAGTTTACAAGAGCGTCGGTCAATCCGCCTATTCACAAGCGCTTATCTGAACGGCGGATCTTGACAACATATCCTTGATGATCAGACACTCTTACTACAGTTTTGTTACAAGATATAAACTTCCGCTAAAACTAGAGGTAAATTAACTTTCCCCCGACTGTCTAGTCTACTGTTTTCATTAGTTCGTATAATCGTATTTTAAACGCGGCGGTAATGAAAAGAAGATAGCCCAGAGCCTGTTGAACTCAAAGTTTAATCTGATTTTGATTTCCGACTGTTGATTTATCGTAAAATCTCATATTCAGAACGATTGGTGGGGGACGCGGCAGAACACCAAACGGAGATTCGTGGAAAAGTCTGTCTAAAACAACAGGGGTCATTCCTCAAGGGAGAGAGGCACAGGGATCCCAAATAATGTTGTCTAAATAAAGGGTGGACCATTTGACTTTTGAGGGGGGATGGGTAATTTGGTAAAGTCATTTTTTTTTTTTTTAGCCCTTTCATGCACTAGGAATTTTTTTCTTGTGACGTGTGCATGAAGGGTATTATTTTCTCCCTGTAACGGCCTTTTTAGGCTCACTGAACGTGTGTGAATTTGTTTTCTTGGCAATGGTCGTGAGCATGAATCCTCAGTTCTTTTGGTACAACTGTGCTTACAGGATGCTTTTTTTTCGAATCACTCCCCACCCCCTTTCAGTCCTTAAATCATCCACCCCTAATGGGACTTGGCAGACAAGCTCGAAAAGGTTTGCGTTTAATCAATCTCTCAATTATGGTAAAGGTAAATTCTCCTCACTGAAAACTGAAACACCCCTGACATAATGTTTATTTAAAGTATTTGCATTTTTGTCAGTCTCGAGAGTGTATAGTTAGGAAGAACAATTATTTCTTAGATTAAAAAAATACCATCTGGTTGTAAACGATTTTTGAAATGATGTTCAATTGTTTTTTGCTATTACATTAGCTGAAAGGGAGAGCTTAACGCTCGAACTTTTCAATCTAAAACTCTCCGGTAGTTAATTTATTAGAAGAATGCTTGCACTATTTATTTTACGATAATCCGTTCTACTTAAACTTAGTTTACACTAGAATTTTCCAGTCTAGTCGAAGAGCGCAATTCAATGGAATTCTTTTCTTTTGACTTGTTTGTAAGGTGAAAACTTTTGGTTTTCCAGTGTAACAGCCTCTGCAAAGATCGTCTGAATCTCTCGCTGCGAAGACTGTACAAAAATGGATTCACTGTTGAGTTCAAGCAGACCAAAACTGTGCCAACCTTGTACGCAATGGAGCCATACTTGAAGCCAAAGTACGAAAGAACATAAGTGACCGTGTCAGGCAGGAGAAACACTCCGTGAAGAACTGTGACAATCAACAGAAGTTTGGTGACTTTCTTTCTTTGTTGTAGCAGCACTACCTGGGTTGAGCTGGAACTTTGACGGTTCCAAAGCTTATGAATTACTCTTCCGTAGAGAACAGCCATAAAGGTAAACGGGAAAGCGAAGTCAATGAAAAATGTCATCAACGTGTAAGCCTTGGCATATCCAATGTCCGGCCATTCTTCAATACAAATTTCGTGTCGCTTGCTGTACTTCATTACTACAGTTGCCGGGATCTCAGACACGACTGCCACTAACCAACTCGCTAAGATTCCTCGTTTTACTTTCTGTGCTGTGAGCCTTCGAGTATTGCTATGTGGAAACAAAATGGAGTTGTACCGTTCAAAGGCGATTAAAACCAGTGTAAAGACTGCAGCGGCTGTTCCAATCCAACTCAGGCTTCCTCCAGTCGCGACCTTACATAGAAGGTCACCCAGTAAAGCACTAGGGTGCTGAAGGAATGGACGAAAAATATACTGCGGCGATACGAAGAGGGCGAATGCCATGTCAGCAGCGGCAAGGTTTATCAAGAGATAGTTCATTGGCATTCTCATGGATTTGGTTCGGAGCACAACAACACAAACCAAAGTATTCCCTAGCAGATTTACAGCCACAAGGATAGAGAAAATTACCATGAGAATAACCTCTGTGTACGACATTCTATCAGAAGGCCCCTGGATAAGGCAAGGATAACTAAAAGCTGCTGCCTTTTCAGCCTTTGAATTCGGCTGTGTCACGATTTTCTCGTTCCAGTTGAAACTTTTTGACTATTGATTGTTGAGGCCTTCAGAGAATTAACCAAGGCAAACGCTCATTCTAAATAGTTCATCAGTTGAAACTGCTGATTTCCTACTGAGCAGTATTATAATTTTTCGCATAAGCTGTTCATTGGCTCTCCTTTTCTAGTTTCGATCAGTGATAAAAACGAAAGGCAACTGGACGAAAATGAAAATCTGAACGTTGCATTTATTTGGCCACCAACCAAATTTGAAGTTTTTGGCCAACTCCCTGGTATAAAGATTATTTTCTACCCCAGTGCTGTTTCTACGAGAGGCTTGGATTAACTCATCCCGAGCGCTTTGCGTTATGGCTAACACATGTGAATTTTTTCGCCCATTTATTTCTTTTTTTGTTTTCCTTTTTTTTTAACACGCGACCGCAAGGATTCCATTTTCAACAACTAAAAAGGCATTACGGCCATACGCCTACCTTTATAACCAGTTCTTCAACAGGTGCTACCAACTGGAATCCAGTTATCATTGTAGAAAGAGTATGGATGAAGGTATTAACAAGTGAAGTTCCACCCTACCGGGAAGAAAGTGAAATATTTCCCATCGCGGCCAGCACCGTTGTCCAAAATGTTTATCTTACATGTACCTTCCATTGTTTTGAAATGTGACTGTATGTTGTTTGTTATTTTCGTTACATTTACCTTCATTCCTTTATTGCTAAATTTTCTTCTAATTTTCTACAAATTCGTCCTGTTTGGACACACATTTTACATTCTTGACATTAGAAAGCGTGCATCAAATCAAAACACAAACTAAAACCTCAGGCTTCAGTACTACACAGAAACACAAAGTATATATGATGACGTAAAGTTGTAACTTTTCACAATAATTTCAACACGCGAAATCTCTTAGCATGTCTCAATGTACATGTATACGAAATGTCTTAAAAGAATACAGCAATCTTACGTTCAAGGCAATTTGCTTTTATAATCTTGCAGTTCTTTGTTCTTATGACGCACATTACATATGGACCATTATATTTTTGAGGGAGGAATAGGGGAAGTTATGCAAGCACCAAGAAAAAAATCCTGCACAATAAAGTAGTAAAAAATGTAACATAAAAAGTGTAAAGAGAGCCACACAAAAGAAAAATATGGAATAAATATAACAAAAAAACAAACAACCACACACACGTGCACACACAGACATTGAACAAAAATAAAAACATAGTTGCTCGAAAACACTGTCCAACTCCAACCCCCCCCCCGGGAAATGTAATGGTCCATCTCTGGTGTTGATAGTAAAATCACTTGCTGATCGTAATCAGAGAAAAAATGATTAAGAGTGCATTAGGGCTGTGCTCTAGAAGCTCCCGGTTGCCACAGGCGACTAACTCTTGTCTTTGGGTGACTGGGAAAACTTACTTTTTAAACATAAGCTTAAGTGCTGGGCACCCAGGATTTCATGGTTAGGAACCCTTGGGCTCACCGTAATGTTTCTTAGACCACAGCCTTGGTGCATGATCTACTTCTAATTTCTCATTTAAAAAGACAGGCAGATTGAGGGATAGTCTTGATCCACCTCTGCATTCTCAGAACTGACATTAAACCAAATGTGTTATGGTCAGTAAGGAGAATTTACACTTTGAATTTAAGATGGAACTGTGAACTTATTTCAACTATGCAGTCCTCAATCCAAGGAACTGGTTACTTCATCATAGTGTACAACTGTTTGATCTCCTTCTTGTAAGTGTCTTCAGATGCACATGGTGTCTCCAAAATCATAGGGATACCATTAAACCTTGGATCTCTCATTAAACGTCGGAATGCCTCAACTCCAATCTTTCCCTTGCCAATATTTTCATGTCTGTCTAAATGACAGCCGATCTCTCCCTTAGAGTCATTCAAGTGAACTGCCCTCAGGTATTTGAGGCCAATGATAGCGTCAAATTCATCCATCGTTTTTGACAAACCTTTCTCTGAAGCAATGTCATACCCTGCGGCAAAGGCATGGCATGTGTCCAGGCAGACAGCCACTCGAGACTTGTCCTGTACACGGTCAATTATGTCTCGCAACTCTTCAAATTTGCCACCAATCTGTTAAAATAGAGGAGAACACTACTTAAACATATTACATACATAAATAAGCAATGTACTGCAGTAATGTTATTTCACACAGTTTACATGAATACTCTGGAGGTTTGACAATATGTTGATATATAAGGGATGTTTACTTGTCTATGGCTTGTAGGCTTTGCACTTGGGTCAATGATAGAATAGATGAAAACAACAACAACAACAACCTCCCCTGTATCATTTATGGAAAAATATTCATTCTGGTATTATGTTGTTCAATTACCCTCCCAGAGAGGTGGAGGGAGGGGGTGACCACCCCGATCTTTTTGGAAATTCTAGATTTGGCTCATACTTTCCTTTACAAATTTTGGCTTTTGAGACCCCCTCCCTCTCAAAATTCCAAATAATTCTCCTTAGGGTGGGTATGGATATTTTCTGAAGCAACAAATTATTTACATATGATGTTTTGTGCCACAGATATAGTTTCAAATCACTAGTATGACCTGCACATGTACATGGTACTGTACAGAGATTATAAAATATCACATGTATCACACCATTGGCAAGACATAGTAAGTCACACTAAAAACATTTACCATTTAACATTTAACTTCAGTCAGTTTCCATTGCAGAAAAATGAGAAGGAGTACAGTGGAGCCCCACCTTACACCCTGTTAATATGGCCACATCATTGTTACAGCCCCTTTATTCTAGTCCAAACAGAAGCTCAGGTAGTCAGTTAGTTATTTAAAGAACCCCTTTAATATGGCCATCCCGTTAACATGGCCAAATTTTTGTGGCCTGTTGGTGACTGGATTGACGAGGTTCCACTGCATTGCTACTCCCCCTGTGTGGGACTTAGGGTTTGCAGGCAAGCCAGAGTCATATTTTCCAGGTTGGACAGACAATTCACTTTTACATGTACATGTACCTTATATCCCTGGGTCAAGAGAGGCACTGAGTGGGTCAAGTTACAGGTTAAAGAGCAAACAAAGGGTCCTGCCCAGTTCTAAGACCCACCCACACAATGCCTCTCACCATAGCACTAGAGGGCAGTAAGACAGGGCTGTCCAATAACAC